GCCGCCTCTGAGGTCTGAGGACGCCGCCGCCTCTGAGGTCTGAGGACGCCGCCGCCTCTGAGGTCTGAGGACGCCGCCGCCTCTGGGGTCTGAGGACGCCGCCTCCGCCGTGCCTTAGCTTCTGTTCCTGAAAGAAAAGACGTTCCTCTGGCTCTGCCAACGCTGATGTCATGGTGGCTGTAGCTGTGAGCTCAGCGGAGCGGAGAACCTGACCTCCATGTGGAGGAAGTCTGGATGAGGAGCCCTGATCCTCTGGTTCTGGTCCAGTAGAGCAGAACCAGGACCGATCCGACCCAACGGCTGCTTCATCTCCTGTCCAAATAAAGACCTGCCAGCTGAGCTGCACACGGTTGGAGAGATCTGACCTCCCTCCCTCCTTTCCTCCCTCCTTTCTGGATCCTTCTGATGTTCCTTCTGTCCAGACCTCAGGTGTCCTTCAGTGAACCTCTCCTCCATCATGGACTCGTTTTTCTTATTTTCCAGGTGGATCATCTGGTTCAGGTTTGCAGCAGATCAAATGTTCTTTATCTCTGTTTTCCTTTTCTGTATAAAATAAAGCGACTATAAATCCTCCACACTGGTTCTGTTCATGCTGCTCTGTAGAAGTGGACTTCTGGGTCTCAGCCATGTTCTATATGAGCTAGATCTATACTCGAACTTCCTGCTGATTGTATAATTATGGTCCGTTTAACTTTTTCCTGATTTATTAAATCAAAAGGTTTATTTTATTAGGAGTAAAGAAAAACATCCCATCCAAACCAAAACCACCATGGTTCTGTTTGATAAGATCAGAAGAACTCTGGTTCTTCCACTGATGCTCTGTGTGAAGAACCAGTGGAGCAGAACCTCCAGGTCCACCTGAAACCTTAAACGCAGGTCAGGAAGTCAGAAAACGACACCTGGAGAACATTTCCACTAACCTGACTCCGCATATCCATCTGGAAACCTTCCGTTGAAGTAATTTTGGGAAGGGGCGAAAATACTGGTTAGCTGATTGGCCTATGTTGGTGATAGACGGGCCCAGATAAACCAATCAGATTAACGACGCATATGACGTACTAACTTATCGTGCTGCAGCCCAAATACCACCGCTA